ATCAAGTTCTGATCGTACTTCAGGTGAACTTGAAGCAATTTCCACTCGGGATGAGCTAGTGAGGTCAACCTGTGCAATACAGCTTGCATAAACAATCCCGTGTAGGAATTCAAGGGGAGATACGCATGAAACTCTGCTCACGCGCTCGCACCGACCGAAGGAGAATGGAGAGATTTCTACGCGGGAAACGATATACGTTCAAACACTATAGGCTCTGTGCTCATACTCATCCGTCTTCTACGCGGCCTACTCACCCGCATTCACTCTTTAGCTATCTCAAGAATCAATGTCTATATCTCGTGAACCAATGGGTCAGGTTGATCAGTAAAAAAATCGCTTCATTTGTGAGAAAAAAAAAAAGTTTCGTTGGAAAAATTGTTCCATATTTCTTTAGATCTTGACGAAAAATTATTTCTTCACTAAACACAGACAAGTAGTGAAAATTCGGATCCCTCTACTCGAAAAGCATCAAATCCAATGATAAAATTTGATCAAGCTTTTAGACACAACGAGCGGGGAGTATTGCGTAGGAACTATTTGGTGTATGACTTAATTCTCGGCCCCTAGATTAAGTTCATTAGAACACCTATTTGAATTGAAAAATTTCCTCGCAATAAAGGGCGTTTTGGAGGCCATCTGTGAGCTACCAATCCACTCAAGTCCGCTTGTGGTCCGATTAACACAACCTCAAAGAACATAGTAAATAAAATTATTGTTCAACAAGCAGCACTCCCTTCTTTTCACCTTCCAACTTGGAAAAACTGCTGCAGAAGCACAAGAAATGATTTGTTCGGTCTTGGAAGAGAGTGCTGTACTGTTGAAGCAAGTGCTGAGATCTTATAGCACATGTAAAAAGTGTTTTAAAAAATTTCGGGATGGAAATTTTGACTTCCAAGATGAAGAGCGTCCTGGGCAACCAAAAAAAGTTGAGGACGAGGAGTTGGACGGCCTACTCAATGAATATCCCTGTCAAACACGACAGAAGCTTGCTGATACTCTCGGAGTGACTCAATCTGCTATTTCGAGGCGTTTAAAAAGAATTGGGAGGATACAGAAGGAAGGTAGTTGGGTGCCCCATCATCTTACCTCAGAAAACAAAAGTCGACACTGTGAAATTGCCATGTGCCTACTAACCAGATTCAAACCAAAAGACTTTTTACATAAAATTGTGACTGGGGATGAAAAGTGGATATTTTACGACAATCATAAGAGGCGAAAGTCGTGGGTTTATCCGGGGGAGCCGTCAACAAGTACTGCAAAACCGAACATTCACGGGAAAAAAACGTTGTTGTGTATTTGGTGGGATTCCAAAGGTGTAATCTATTATGAGATACTCGAACAGGGGGAAAGCGTCACAGCTAAGCGTTATCAGGACCAACTGGTGAAATTGATTGATGCTACTGAGGAAAAGAGACCTTTTACTGGTAGTGGTACGAGGCAAGAAATTTTGCTGCAGGAAAACGGGCGGCCACACACAGCAAAAGAAACCCTGAAAGTTATCTCCACGCTGGGAAATTCTCCCTCATGCCGTGGATTCTCCAGATCGTGCGCCTTCTGACTATCACTTTTTTCGGGCGCTACAAATCTCCTGGTGGATACCCAGTTGTACTCTCCCGAAGAAGTCCGGCAGAGCATTGATGACTTCATCCAGTCAAAACCACCATCTTTTTTCCGAGCCGGAATCCGACAATTGCCCGATAGATGGGAGAAATGGGTGCAAAGTGACGGTGATTATTTTCAAGATTAGATCTGTATTCATTTTTTTATAAATAAATGTCAAAATTGTCTAATATTACAGAAAAGCACTGATGAAAATTTCTTAATGTATCTTAGATTCAGAGATATCCGTGAGTAAAATTATGATAAATATCATATAAGGAAGAGGGCGATGCGAGAAAAATGAATAAGGTTCAAGCGGGAGGGATGAGTGTAATAGAATATCAAATTATCTCCACCAAATAATTTTAATTAGAAAATATGTAGAGTTTCTAAACCTTCTGAGAAATCTCCAACTCACTCCGATTCGTAGGTGTGGAATAAAGAGGGAAAAAATTTTTTTTTAGCGGTTTCATGAAAAAAACATTTGTAGCCAAAATTTTTAAAAACACCAAATAATTTTGATCAGAGAATGTGTCAGCAGGCTCCCCTAATCCCCGAAAAATCACCCACCCTCACGATTGGTACGGACCACTATTAGTTAAGGGTCGAACAATTCCTTTCTCGCGTTTTTATGACAAAAAAATAGTTGCACCCAAAGTATTCAAAAATACCAAGTGATTTTGACGAGGAATGTGTCAGGGGAGTCCCCTAACCGCCTAAAAAGCAATAACCCTCTGGAATTGTTATGCAATTAAGGGGGTGAAAATTTGATTTTTATCGTTGTATATGAAAACAAAATACTTGTACCCAAAAAATATTGGAAAATACAATTTTTGCCACTTAATAGTATCGATCCAAGGGGGTTCGTGATTTTTTTGAGGCTTGGGAGATCCTCCTGATACATTTCTTATTGAAAATGATTTTATGTTTTGAAATATTTCAGGCGCAACAATTTTTTTTCATAAAAAAGGTGTAAAATTGAATTTTTATCCCTTTAATGAGTTCAAGTACTATTCGTGGGCTGTTCGTGATTTTTCAGTGAGTTGGGTTGGCCTCGTGATGCATTCTTCAATAATGGACTGGACTGGAGCGGACTGATCTGGGAGGGTCAGACGTAAAATAGGATTCAAAAAAGGGTCAAATAATCTGATCTTTAAGTCCGTAGTTCTTCAGGGTCCTGTAACCCTTAAAATCGCTTGATTCTTGCGTTCCTTCGTTGGTCTCCTTCATTTGACTCTTCTTATTGATTTTCCCGCTCCAGCGTTTGTCGTTTATTATATTTTGATCCTCGATTCCCTCGCATTTATCATTCGACCATTCTAATTACTCTGCTCTAACCCGTTTGACCCGTAAGACCGTTTGACAGTTATTGCCCGTATCTCTTATAAAATTTAAAAAAAGTTTCCTGCATTGTGCTGAACAGTGATTCTTGCTCGTGTTTTGTTCTGCGCCGTTTTTCATTTAGCCTTTGTCGCCCCTTTGACGGATAAAATTGCGGTTGTTGAAATAATTTATTTCATTTGAACCATTTTCTTCAGCAATCTGAAACTCCGCACAGGACTTTGTAATATATCGAAGAATATACTTAAACAATTTCATAAAATTGGCTACATATTTTTACCTGGTTCATCGTTAACTTGAAAAATTCAATTTGCTAAATATTAGCAACACACATTACAAAACTCAATTCGGCGGTCGGGGAGGAAAACAACATGTGTCAACGCAAGGTTTTGATATATGAATGTTTTTGAATATAAGGTAGATAGAAACATTATTATGCGAGTTTTTCTTGTAGATCGCACCTTGCTGTAGAAAAGATATCTTGATGAAAATGTCGTTATTTGTTTTAGATGCTGAGATATATTAGAAAAACTGCTTTTTCGAGAGGACTAAATTTTCATTTTCTCGGCATTGTACCTCTCAATTTGTCGGAGCATAAAAAATGAAGACATACAAGAGTTAGAACATCTGATGAATTATACAATGAAAATTGTATAACAGAGGAAAGAAAGAAAGGAAAGATTGAAAAAAAAATGGGGGAAATTTTCCAAAATCTATATGTTCGAATATTTCTTTATTGTGAATCATGGCTTGTAATTAAAATTGAAACCAAATCTTTTAGAGAAAAACAATCCTCAATATCTCTGCCAATAATTGAGTTGGAGAGCGCCAGTTGCGTTCATTTCTCGTGCTTCAGACTATATTTTGCGATAAAGAAGTTTGATGAAAAAGTTTTGAAATTTGAAAGTAGTTTTTCGTATACAGAATTGCTGGATTCAGTCATATAAAACTGAATTGTCTGACAATTCTAACATAAGCAGGGTTGCGACCCTATTCGGCAGAAGCCATGTGACCGTTACTTTATGCATTATGAATGTTTTTTTCTCCTCTAGGAATTCCATTGGTAATAAGCTTCCCAATGGATTACTAGCAATGGACTAATTTTCAAGATATGGATAATTAACTACCAGACAGTGCAAATTTTATACCGTGACAAGTCATAACGTCCTCCTTAAAACGTATGATTCCCAAAATGTGTGATCCTTGGAACACGTACAATTATAATCATCTCATGAACCAAATAACTAACCCCATTCAACTTGGGCAAGAGTTTTAACTTAATATTTAAACGACACGGAGAATTAACTAATATTCTGTGAAGATTTGCACCTCTGTAAATAGACGACACCGATCTCTGTCTCGGTCACAGCTATGATATTTCATCAAATATTACATAATAAATAATAGAAATGTACATAAATTTTTGTTATATGACTTTTTAAGTCATCAAACTGCAAAAATGATTGATTAAATGATGTGCCATTTAAAAAAAAAAAAAGATTTTTTGATAAAATGCTCTAGACCAAGATAGAGCAATTCAGCAAAAAATCGATAGATTCAGTACATCGAATCTATCAACACAAAATTTTATACACAAATGTGATTCATTAACAATCATTAGTAGGCAGAATTTCAGATATTGATTCCAGATTTTAAATTTATGATGGAACGGCATATTACCTATCAAATGAAAAAAAAATAGAAAAACGCCAATATCGAGGAACCTTTGTATGAACAGATATTCATATTTTGATCCGTCTCGATAGAAATTGTCATGACAAGTATTTTGAAAAGAAAAAAAGAAAAAGTGAAAAGAAAAGTGAAATCGGACCAGTAGTTCGGGAGATATTGGGCGAAAATTTTTGCACGCAAATTGAATATCTTGTAAACGACTCATCCGATTCCCTTTTTAACCCTATGCATTCCACTGATTTTATATATCAATAATAAATGAAAAAATTCTCAACAAAGTAATAGAGAAACTAATAACCTATGTCTACGAAAATAATTTGAGATATTTATCTGAAGTTGCATATAATTTCCTATAAACTATCTCATACCTGCATCTTGCTGAGCACTTATACTCGTACTTGCCAGAAGTAGAGAAACGATGATGACTATTCCCATGTCCATAAATAATGAGCTTAAAAATAGAACTACAACAAATGATTCCACAAAGTTGACTGAATTCGATCATGCAATACTCAGCAACCACTTCCACCTCAATCCCCACTACTCTCTCCCACAACGCAATGCTAAAGACTCGTTTTGTCGTGCGTATATGGTTGTTTTTCCAGAAATGCCCAATGAAACGTATAAGAATGAACCAGAATGCAGAAACTTTGAATATTGCGATTCAACACTAGCAACTCTAGATTAATACTGAGAGAAAATCGGCTCTGATGGATTCCAGTTGTGGATATTTATTCGACCAATAAATTCAATTTCTACATTATTTCAAGGCTATTGTCTGGCCACCGTAGATGTTTGTAAGGTATAAATTACATGGAAAGAAGTATTCCATGTGCTATCCACCCTTCTGACCTCTGTATGAGGAAAATAAATAATTGATTAGCAATGCACAAATTCAAAATTTTGAAGACACGTGGGAGATGTGGAATATGTAGAGATCAGGAAAATAGAATAGCATATAGCATCCCTCTTTCCATGCATCTAAAGTAACCGAATAATAGCCCTGGAGTAATGTAGAAATACGCTCTAATGATTTTCAAAGAAGGGATTCCCGTTGTTATCGGTGGGATGATCAAAGTCGAGTTAATTGAAATTCAAATTTACTGTGACGTTCAGATTACTTTGCGTTTTTAATAATACTTCAGTATTTGGAATCAGAGTGATTAAATATGGAATTGGTGAACCTTTTGAAATATTGGACAAATAGGATTTAAGAGTGGTCTAAGATCATTTTTTCGAGTTATCACTGAGTTTCCTGTTTGCCGGTACGCGGAGAAATATTTACCGCGAAAATTAGGATGTTAACATTTTTTTAGTGAATGAAGCTAGAAACCTCAATGTTTTCTTCATTCGCATATAGAAATCCACAGGAAATGCTATAATAATATGCAATAACTCCCTTAAAAATTGGATGCTAAACTTCAAATTTTCCATTCAAAAAGATATTAGCACCCCAATTTTTCCCACGTGGATCTGAAATAGCAAAAGAAAAGAGAGATTGATTGAGAACAGTAATTACTGCTTCTGAATGGAAGGATTGTAATCGTTCAAATTTAAGTTTCGAATTTTTTGTATTATATCAACCTATCTATCTATTATGATCCAGAAAGTCCGAAAATTTCATTTTCAGACCCGATTCATACATATGTGTGCATAAATGTATGTATATATATATGAGAAACTTTTTCTTTAATTGTTCGCTGATAAATCGTTGGAATTGAATAATTTTTTTTCAAATGTAGGTTGTTGAGCCCTATCCATCGAGATCAATTAAAATTAAATGCGTATATTATATTTTAAAATTTTAGAGTAAAAAAAATTGGTTGTCCCACCTCAGCTCAAAAAAATGTTCTGAATTCAGTGAATGATGGCTCGAAATAGTATATTATGTCATCTGGCAATAAAAGTATTATCTGGCGAATGTGGCTTTATAATCTGAGTCGAAGGCGAGGATTATAATCACATTCGCCAGATAATACTTTTATCGCCGTGTGACATACGATATTTTATGTAATTCGGCCCGAAAACCGCGGTTTATCGGCCCTAATGGCATAAAATTATTTAGATGTCTCTTCGACCATGTTTAAAGATGAAGGCCATAGCTGTATTACTTGTTTTGATTTTTCGAATAATTTTCAAAAAATTTGTATTTTATCAAAATTACAATTCCGAGAATATCTGTGAATATCTTCATGAATGCGAAGAGACTTGTCTGAGAGCCGCGGACGGAATCCGCACCGAGCACCACTGATACCTCGCTGAACCTGACAGCTTTAAAAAGAAAGAAAGAAGAGAGAAAACAATGAGCCCCAGCGCCTCAAGGTACATACTCCGCTCATAAGATTATTATTCACTAATCTTTGATACTAGGAATGTATCACTTAACCGCCAATTAAACATTGTGCTTATCATTACTCGCGTCTTCTTTGATTCAACCCCGTTATCCGGTAGCCGTTGATCACTATCCCCAGTATATAACACTAAATAACGATTCTATAGTCAGTCGCGAATATGGTCGTTCGACCTGGATTTGGGGTCGAGTAAGTAAATACAGTTGTAATCGGGATTACTGACTCTCACTGACGAGTCCGGTAGAATCAAGCTCGCGTTTCACCGCTATACCTTGTGAAAGTGAGAAAAATGACCGCGAAAACTCGATGTTATCTCAAGTGCAGAGTGTTTATTGAACAGGGTTGCTTTTAAAAAAGTGATCATAGAAGAACCTAAAATTATTACGCCTGTATAATCGTCGACTTGTGCAATTGGCTTCCAAATGTGCTCGATTACTCGCCATTTTTTCCCACTAAATCAGCGCCACATCATAAGTGCGCCGGGTTCTAGTTATAGTCATAACGTTTTAGTGGCTCTGGGTGTTTAGAACTGAGGTTCACAGTCTTACGGCCGTTATCCCGACTAGGGTCGTTTCTGTAGAATGTAGTGAGTACAGTGTTGGAGGGAGTTTTAAGCCATTTTCTTGATTCGTTTTAGGAAATTAAATAGGAAATAGGCCGAGGGGGTACTTACTCCCTGATTGAGTGACACCATGACTTCGAAATGAAGTCGACTTCACGTGGTTTCAGGGTTGAATTCAGTTTGACTTCGGTAATTTCGGAAAACAATGAAGTCAATGACTTCAAGTGGCTCGTGACATGGTTTCGTGACTGCAATTGACTTCGAATGACTTCATAGATTCGAAATCAATGATTTCAGAGGCAATGAAGTCATTGAAGTCACGATGAATAAAATGCAACGAACGCGGCAGAACGGGCTTGTTTAAATTTTTGATATTTACTTGGCTTCAATTTGTCAATCTCGAGATTTTACAAATAAAAAACAAGAAAAAAAATATTTTCGAAACTTTATATTTGAAGAATGATACATGAAGTATTTCACAAATTGATTATTCAACCTATCATCTGTATTTTTTTTAAAATATTTTTTAACCTTATTAAAAATGCTCTCATGGAGCTTTAAATCACCAGTCTCACTCATCAGTGGAGGAGAAATTGTCTTTCTGCATTGTTTTATATCGATGTAGCCGTGAAAAGTCATAGACTCGGATTTCAAACAATTCAAACTCTTATTCAAAATGTACCAATGGCAGAGAACACTAATGTTTTTCTTATTACCACTAACACGAGCGTACTGGCTCGAATATTCTCGACTTCAAAGGGTTTTCCCCTCGGTATACGCAAAGTTTAGTACAAATCCTAGTAAACAAGTAGGATATTTATCCTCTTTAAACAAACACCAATCATCGATATTAATTTCGTCATATTCTCTTACAAAATATTTTTTTTGGCTTTGTGAAGAGTCTTTGCATTGAAGACTAGTACGTTTCGTTATGAGCCATAATTCATTGTATCTTTAAGTGACAAGTCTTTTTCATTTAATAAATGTTTATCTTTACAAATATTTTTCATCAAGGTCCTTAAATGTGTACAAGAAATGAAATAATCACCCATTGGCAATAGAGTAGAATGTTTCAATAAACGGACTCTCAACTTCGCACCCACGTGAATATGATCTTGCATAACTAATATTTCTGAAGACAAAACTGAGTGAAAAAATGGTAAGGAAACTATGCGTTCCAGCGAAGTTCGCTGACGACAATCTCTGGAATTTAGCTGACTCTCGATTTTCATTGCACGTAAGTCTTGGGTCACTATCTGATCCTATTCCTAATAGCGTGGTGTCTTTGTTTTTCAACCCTTCACGAATATAGCTCCATCTCTTTCGCACGTCTTTGAAATTAAATTTGTTGTCTGTCCCGTATAAACAAACAAAAAGTAGGAGCATCATTTTTTAAGGATTGTGCCACATTTGTGTATACTAGAGTTGCCACTGTGCCTGACAGAAAACTTTTTTCGATATCGGAGGCAGATTCAACTTTAAATTGGCCGGATTTTGGCAAGCCATTCGCCGATAATGGCAAAACAAAACCAATTAATTGAGTGATTTGGATATCATATTGAATCCTGCCAGTAATACGAGTGGCATCTTCACTTATCCATACTATGAGAGGTAACTGTCTGTAAACTAAAAAACTCTTCAGCTCCTTCAATCTGAAAATTCCTTCTCTAATATTATCAGAAATATTTCTGTTCAACTGTCTCCCAACAGTAGCTAGAGACGGGATGGGGAGATTTGCGCAGAGAGTTTCATACATTAATCGTCCACCTATAGTAAATAAATAGCAGCAGAATAAATTCAGTGATTCATCGTATCTATTACCCTTTGCATGTGCACTATGACTGCTTGCACTTTGATAAAGTTATTGTAGAAAATTCTTTTTTTGATCAATTTTGTTACTTGAGCTCGAATTAGCCAGAAATAATTTTTTTTCCTCCATGAATAACTCTAGAATAGAACTTAAATTTTTATTTTCTTCGATTAATTTTTGAACTTTATTTAAAATAGGGAAATATTCTGAAATACGAAATTGAGATGGAGTAACTGAAGCATAAAGTTTTTTTTTCAATCCTCGATTGCCCATCATTATTCCTAAGCCGAATAATTTTCGTTTTATCTGCAAAGGGATCCGGTCGACGATCACTTCGTTTTAAAATTCCCCCTGACCGTGATTATTGAGAAGAGCCAAAGAATCTGAAATGAGACTGGAAGCCCCAGAAGATACTGAGGATGAACGTTGGTCTTCACATGAAGCTGTCAGTAGTGAAACGTTCTTTGCTGCATGGGCGATTCCATCGACATATTGGTCAGGTGCTGATGGATCTTGTATTATTGGAAGAACTTCTGGATGAGAAAAAGGCCTGATGATTCTTCAATATTTTTTATTCTTCAATGCGAATGGAGTAAAATAATACCTGCAATGATGGGCTCAAGAGTGTTACGTTTATGGCAGGTGGGCTGCTCTCGTGATTGGAGCGAGTCACACATGACCTCAGTCGTGCTTCTTCTCTACAAGACGAGTATAGTTTGTTAAT